CGAATGTTGTGTAAATTTTGTGTTTTGTGTGTTATTTTTTCCCACTGTCAAACGTTTATTCATTTCTTGAACGTAGTTCCATAACGTTATTTACTTTTCCTCAGGTCAACATGCTAATGAGAGGGTGTCTGTCAATTATCAGAAGCCAGTCAAAATTATAGAATGCAAAACTTTTCTAACGATCAATCAATGATGGCATCAAGACCGCCTTCTGATGATTGACAGACACCCTCTCATTAGTTGACCTGAGGAAAAGTAAATATGCAACTAAGTTGAATAATCGCTTAAAAAGAGGAAAAATAAACGTTCAGTTTAACATTTTCTTATTCGCCCAACATTTGTGTCATTTATTTAATTATTTATCGATTATTTATATATTCATTTATGCAGGAATTTGTGGATTTTTATGTACATTTATTTATTTATTATTTTATTTATGCAGGAATGTCTGACATTGCATCGCTGAGCGATGCAATCTCAGCTTGCATCATAATACCTGCATCCAGATACTGTTGTGACTGTATGGATTTATTTACAAATTTATTTATATATTTATTTATTCATTTTTGCAGGTTTTGTCCTCCATAATCCTTTGAATAGTTCATTAATAGAACTTTAACTCAGAAGGCAGACTTTATAACTATACAGATTTCTTAAAGAAGTTTAACATTCCTGCTACTACTAGTGAATATGTCATGTTGTCAATTCTATCCCTTCTGGTCAAATTCCCATTGCCATACACTCACACTGAATTTAACTGATACAGTGGTTGGAAGTGTGTTTTTCAGCAGACCAACAGAAAAATTACTGTAAAATTAGAAGCCTCTTCCCGAGAGAGATAATAACAATCCCTTATGTAATACCTTATTGGAACAATGCTGTTGAAAATATTCCATGGGAGAAAGTATGGACTTTGCCTCACAAATATCTGATTACTAATAAAGTAAAAGAAGTAATATTTAAATTAATTCACAAATGTTATCCTACTAAGACCTGTCTTTAGAAATATAAGTCTGACATTGATATGAACTTCTCCTCTTGTCACTCTTCGGAGGAAGACTCTATTGTTTTGGCAGTGCTCCTACAGAGAGAGATTCTGGTCAGATTTGTTAGTATGCAATCTTATATTATGAGTGACTTTTCCTTTTTCATTTAAAGATATTTTCTTTGGGTTGTTTGACGAGTCTGAAAAAAACTTGGAAAAAGTGTATGTAATTAATTTATGTATTCTTCTAATAGGCAAGTTTCATATTCACAAACAACGTTTAGTGGCTCTAAACCTTTTTTGATCTATTTACAATTTACCTAGACCAATATTTGGAAGCTATCCAGCATTTTTTCTTATCCAAAAGCAACAAAACTGTATCCTTGTTCTTTTTTTGTGTCTCTTTAAGGTGTAACTTCTCATTATTTTTATTTTTGTTACCCTGGCGTTAGTTTGTCTTTGCAGTCCTGCTGAAAAAACAGATTAATCCAGCATAGGCTGTTTGGCTGGTTTTAGCTAGCTGACCGGCCTGGTTTTAAAGGGGTTTTGACCATTTCCAGGCTGGTTTCCAGCTATTTCCAGCCTGATCTTAGCTGGTTAGCACCAGCTTGACCAGCCTAACCAGCTATGTCAAGCTTAAACCAGGCTGGTCAAGCTGGTTTTAGCTAGTCTTTTTCCAGCCTAACCAGCTAAGACCAGGCTGGAAATGGCTGGAAGCCAGCCTGGAAATGGATGAAACCCCTCTAAAACCAGGCTGGTCAACCAGCTAAAACCAGCAACCAGCCTTTGCTGGTTTAAGCTGGATTTTTCAGCAGAGGTAAAATTCTGTGCACTTTTTTTATTTATCTGTATTATTAGTCTCTATATGTAGGCCTAATTTGATCTACCTCTTTACTTAAATAAAATAAAATAAAATTAAATTAAATTAAATTAAATTAAATTAAATTAAATAAAATAAAATTAAATAAAATAAAATTAAATTAAATTAAATTAAATTAAATTAAATTAAATTAAATTAGATTAGATTAGATTAGATTAGATTAGATTAGATTAAATTAAAATAAATAAATAAATAAATAAATAAATAAATAAATAAATAAATAAATAAATAAATAAATAAAATCATTAAAAGAACCGGAACTAGCTCTGACTCTTGCTGCATTTTGGGATTCGGTGAAAAAGAGTCGACTCATTGGAGTCATGTTAGTGAATGAACAGCTCAAAACAACGACATTCAACGTTACTGTTAAACTCTTTCACATCACGCTTTTTTTCATCTTGCTCACGTGCGAAGTTTTGCGAGGTTGAATTCATAACTCAGGTAGGTTATCATTTTTTTTTACAATACTGTGATGTTTAAAATTCAAAAGCAACAGTCAATGCCGACGAACAAAAACAAGTCACTCCCTACATTTCTTTTTCTTTACCCATCAAATATCTAATTTCAGCTGGAAATACGTCACGTTGTGAAAATAAAGGGTTGTGAATGACATTTCATGTTGACAGTAAAGAAAATACAAAAGAGAATACCGATGAAAAGAAAGGGAAAATCAGTGTCAGGTTGCTCTGAAAGCAAGATGGGTAGGTTATATATTTAACAACTGCTTAGCACATGATTGAGGTATAGATTTACATAAACATGCTAGCAGGACCATTCCCATGAACAGAATTAACTCTTAATGTGGATTAGTAGTCATATTTTCCCCAATATGTGTGTTCAGCTTAAATTACAGGCTACAACAGTATAGGTGAGGACTGTGTTGAAGGCTGGGCTGTGGTGCTTTATGCGCTGTACACATGGTTTAACCTTAGTGGTAAAATGTCCTGTGTGAGGCCTGTGGCTTTCATTTTTAGGTTTCCTCCTTCTTTACAGTGGCTTTGAAAATGTCCCCGCTCTTTAAAGAGCTCCCATTGTAAAAATCATCATTATACAGTTCAAGTATGAGTTTTTCCTTTTATATTTATTTCTTGTCTTTTCCATCGCCCTCTTTTACATCTGAACACACAAAGCCAGAACCGTTGTGGAATTTACATCCTTGGCTAATTTTAGAGATGGGTTTCTGACCAAAAAACACATCCTCCAATTTGGGGCTATATTGGTCTTCCTCCCTCAGTTTTCTCTGTGTGCTTCTCCCTCTCTACTCACTCTCTCCTCTTAAAATCATTCTGTTTGTCTTTCTGACCTGTTTTTCCACGTCTTCAGGGATTGCTGCCACACTTACCGGTTTGCTTTTTCTCATCATCACTGGTGTTTTGTTTTGCTATGTTCAACCAAGTGGTTCCTGAAGTTGTTTCAGGGCGTAGATTTCACACTGGGCTTCAAATTAACAACCCAACTGTAGTTTTTAAGTTTTCACACACAAAAGTGAACAAAATGTTCTCAAATCAAACGATTCAGTGTATTTAAATTGGACTGCAGAGACCCAACCCAATGATTAGCATTACATAAGCTGAACTGGAAAAATGACAGTTCTTGGTTTTTAAATGTCTCTTTAATGTTGATGGTTTCTTTTTCTCTGCAGTTTTCAACCAATTATTTACCGCACAAAAACAATGTAGTCAGCACAAAACCACACTGATCCTTGTTGCATTTAATGTAATCTGGCATGCATTGCTTATATGCTTTTGTCTACTTTTTGCATATGAACTTTAAGGAGGCTAAAGTTGGCTTTAGCTTCATTCATTCATTTTCTTTCGGCTTAGCCCCTTTATTCATCAGGGGTCACCACAGCGGAATGAACTACCAAATTGTCCAGCACATGTTTTATACAGTGGATACCCTTCCAGCTGCAACCATGAACTGGGAAACACCATACACTCTTACATTCACACACATGCACTACGGCTATTTTAGTTTATTAAATTCACCTATAGCGCATGTCTTTGGACTGTGGGGGAAACCGGAGTACCTGAAAGAAACCCACATGAAGACGAGGAGAACATGCTAACTCCACACAGAAATACCAACTTTCCCAGCTGGGACTCGAACCAACTTGAACCTGCGACCTTCTTGCTGTGAGGTGACAGTTCTAACCTGAGCCATTGTGTCGCCCGCTTACAAAACAGTAACCATAATTACCGATTACCAAACTATTATGTTTCTATTGTGATTATGCACAACGATATTATAAATTGTATGTACTCTTTACTAGTACTGGGTTGGACCCACTTTTGGTCTTCAGAACTGCTTTAATCCTCCATGACATAGATTCAAGATACTAGAAATAGTCCTCAGAGGTTTTGGTGCATATTGACATGATAGCCTCACATAGTTGCTGCAGAGGCTGCACCTCCATCTCCTGTTCCACCACATCCCGAAGGTGATCTATTGGATTGAGTTCTGGTGGCTGTGGAGGCCATTTGAGTACAGTGAACTCGTTGTCATGTTCAAGAAACCAGTCTGAGATGATTAGCGATTTATGATCTGGCATGTTATACTGCTGGAAGTAGCCATCAGAAGATGGGTACACTGTGGTCAAAAATGGATTGACTGGGTCAGCAACAATACTCAGGTAGACTGTGGCATTGACACGATGCCCAATTGGTACTAATGGGTCCAAAGTGTGCCAAGAAAATATCCCCCACACCGTTACACCACCACCACCACCAGCCTGAACTGTTGATACATTGCAGGATGAATCCATGCTTTAATTTTGTTCAATTCTGACCCTACCATCTGAATGTCACAGCAGAAATCGAGACTCATAAGACCAGGCAATGTTTTTTCAATCTTCTATTGTCCAATTTTGGTAAGCAATTGTGAATTGTAGCCTCAGTTTTCTGTTCTTAGCTGACAGGAGTGGCACCCGGTGTGGTCTTCTGCTGCTGTAGCTCATCCGCCTCAAAGTTGGACGTGTTATGCATTCAGAGATGCTCTTCTGCATACCTCGGTTGTAACGAATGGTTATTTGAGTTACTGTTGCCTTTTCTATCAGCTCGAACCTGTCTGGCCATTCTCTTCTGACATCTGGCATCAACAAGACTTCAGTGCACACAGAACTGCCGCTCACTGGATATTTTCTCTTTTTTGGACCATTCTCTATAAACCCTAGAGATGCTTGTGCAAGAAAATCCCAGTAAATCAGCAGTTTCTGAAACCAGTCTGTCTGGCACCAACAACAGGGTTTCCACAAGGTCTTAAAAAGTCTTACATTTCAAAAACAAAATTGTAAGCCCTAAAAAGTGTTAAATTCACTGAAAATGTGTGTTGTAGGTCTTACCAGGTCTTAATTTTCCAATGTCCAATTAAAGCTACCCTATCAGGCCGACACTTAATCACCAAAAAACTATTTTAAAACCTTATATATATGTAGTTGCTTTTATTGCAAAGAGATACAAATCACAACAACTGTTAGACATGTTTTCAGCAAATTCTCCTTATTAAATTCTAAGCAGGGAAAGAAAACTAAAGCAACACATCCCTTTACATGATCTTGCATTAATACAAAAACTATTTACAGAAGTAACTGGATCATTAGAAAAAAATCCTTAGTCTTATGCCCAGTATAAGTCTAAAATTTCATTCGTAATGGTCTTAAAAAGACTTAAGTTTAATTTAAACCTACAGAAACCCTGAACAACCATGATGCCACATTCAAAGTCACTTAAAGGGGTGGTCCAGAAAGTAATTTTATGGCTTGGTTGTGTTAATAAGATGCAAAGCAATGTGTGCTTATGTTTCACTTGAAGGATATCATGTTATTTTTTTCATAAATCTCACTTTGATTACAGAAACAGAGAAGCTCTGTGAAAATAATAGGGATGGCATTTCTGCTCTCTCTGCTGTAACGTTACAGTGCCTCTGGCCACAGCCCTTAGCTGTGCACTGAGGGATGCGCAGTAAACTAACCTTTGTGATCTCACAGGGGGCGGAACTATTTTTGGTAGTCCCCAAAATTCATTCATTGTAGGCTTTGCTAAGCAAATTGTGTAAAAATCAAGGTCTCCCTTTGCATTGAACTTTCAGCATTTTACATTCAGAGATGCTGTTTATGTTCACGCAGCAACATTACACATCAACTAAAGATTAAAATATGATATCGTAGTGGACCACCCCTTTAAAGCTGCGGTTACACTGGGCTTTTTTCCCTATAGACTTCCATTCATACGCACGCGAATGCGTCAGACCGGAAGCGCAGGCTCATGTGTCAAGTTTCGCAGGTTGCTGCGGTGCAAAGTTCAAGCTTGGTGAACTCTGAGCTGTGAAATCGCATCACTTGACTGTGTGATAGCAATCGAGGATCAAAACATGACCTCTCTGGACAGAAATTTAAAACATAGAGCAATTGCTCGCTTTTTTTATTATCTAATCATCTTGTTTAATCCCGCCCTTTTTCGCAGCTCCGCACGACAGAATTTCACACACTCAAACTCTAGTGTGACCACAGCTTAAATCCCCCTTTTTCCCCATTCGGAGGCTCGGTTTGCATTGCAGCAAATAGTCTAGACCATGCCTAGATGCCTTAAGTCACTGCCATGTGATTGGCTGATTAGAAATTTGCGTTAGCGAGCAGTTGGACAGGTGTTCCTAATAAAGTAGCCAGTGAGTGTATATTTGAGTTTAGCAGCGTATGTGATCCTAAAGAACATATGAGTGATGATTTTTGGGCTGTAGCCCACGCTAGCACCACTGGTTCAACTTCTGTGCTTTTTCATTACTTTGTGGCAACAACTTGCCCTTTATGTTGCATTTTTTTTCAGAGCAGTATATAAACACATGTGTTGACAATGTGTAACGTGTGTAAAAACATATGTGAACTGGAGAAATTTGACAAGATTTTTCAAACCTAGTTATATCAAAAGGCCACAATGTTTGTTCTCAGCTTAAATAAAAACACATTTGAATGAGGGTATTATTACAGGGCACTACCCAATGCATGTTTAACTAAAATGCTTCGTTCTACTCCTCAAATGTTCACGACTCAAGCATATATGGGTTTAGCAGTTGCGACACGTATAAATTTACTACAGTGCATAAACAAATGCTGCTTTGTAATGAAAGTGTCCTTGATGTGTTTATCTTTAACACAGCTTATCTAATCTGCGTTTTTACAATGTGCACAGAACTGTAGTTTGGCTAATTATGCTTACTAGACTGTAACTCATCTATCAGTATGCCTTAAATACATTTCATTCAGACCTTGACGCCATGACAGTGAAATATGAACTTTTTCCTTTGTTTACTCAGTTACGATTTAAAGAAGACAGCCACAAAGGGTACAAAACTAGCATGATTGCTTCCCGTGACATTTCCCTGTGTTATTGTAGGTTTTCAGGTCAAATAATTACCCGCTCGACAACACAAGCTCTATTTCTCAAGTTCTCTGTAGTATTCTTTCAATTAGACCTGTTTTGCCTTGTCCCTGAGTGGCCGTGACAGTCCTTTCAAACTTTATTGAGCCTCGTTCTGCTGGCATTCTTCAGCAGTTCCCTTCTCTACTGCTCCTGTCTGCATGTGTTCTTGAAGCCATTAATCGTTCCTGCCTGCACAATGTGAACCCCAGCAGATAATTACAGTAATTAAACCAATTAGGCAGCATATGGAACGAGAGTGAACATGCCCTGAGGACACTGAGGTCTGCTATTCATCCCCTGCATGAGCCTCTGCTGAGGTGGTCCCCGTATCTGGCACTGCTTAAGGAAGGGGCCGGGGAAATTGCTTCAACCCAATTTTGGATTAAAGCAATTTCCTTTTAGCTGAGCCTTGAATACGGTGATGCAGATGTATGTTGTTGGCCTGCTGCAAGAGAGGACTTCAAACAAAGGAGGACAACGTGAAGACAACTGAGAAGAAGAGATATGAAATGGCGCCGTGATTCTGTGTTTGGAGCTGGAATGTTTTATTTCTCATTCCACATTTGCTTTCAACAGAGTTTTTTGTTCTGTGTTTCATGCTTGGATAAATGTTTATTGTATTAATTAAAGTGATCATATTACAGAGAAACATTAGGTGGTGCTCTGTAATAAATGATTCTTATTGGTCAAACTGGCTAATTCAGTTCTGATTAGGGATGCTCATTTTGGTTAATTTTATTGAACGGTCAGTCAGATTAATAAAAAATTAATTCATTTTCTCTTCGGCTTAGTCCCTTTATTAATCTGGGGTCGGCACAGCGGAATAAAAAGCAAACTTATCCAGCATGTTTTTACGCATCGGATGCCTTTCCAGCCACAACCCATTTCTGGGAACATCCACACACACACTCATATACTAAGGACAATTAAGCCTACCCAATTCACCTGTACCACATGTCTTTGGACTGAAGGGGAAACCGGAGCACCCGGAGGAAACCCACGCGAACTCAGGGAAAACATGCAAACTCCACACAGAAACACCAGCTGAGCGGAGGTTCAAACCAGCGACCTTCTTGCTGTGAGGTGGCAGCCCTACCTACTGTCGCCTAATAAAAAGTTATTATTTAATAATAAAAATAAATTGATGTGTCTATTTTGTGTGAGACATTAAAATTTGCATTTTAAAATACAGATTTATTTTAACATGTGAACAACTGCATGCAGAACATATAACAACAGAACATTTTTTTGATAATAATCTTTTTTTTATAATCTTTTTTTTTTTTTACAACAGAACATCTTTACTCGCCTACAGTGTTTCCAACAGCTAAAAACAGAATTAACTTAAAAAGAATAAAATAAATAACTCTTCCTTTATTTTTTACTTAAATTACAAATTACAAAACAAAAACACTGACTGAATACTTTTTAAGAACCAGCATAGGCTGTTTTTTCCAATCATATGATTTTTTTTCTCTTGTTAAATAAAAAGAAGGCTATACGCTCAACTGAAGACATGCATTTAATTAATGCTCTGCTGTTCTTATTATATCACAAACCTCTGTCAGCATTTAATTGAAGTCATTATTTTAAACATTATGTCTTGAGCATCTGATTTCACCTTACAACCTTTGTGCTTTTTTTTTCCATTTTACCCACAGTTCATGTACGCACGCTGCGTGTGATAGGAGACAAACAAGGTGCATATGTTGACTGTTTTAAACATATAGCATAATAGTTTTGTTTTTTACATATAGTATTGCATTCATTTTCATATGTTTTATAGTTTACATAGCTATAAAACAGAAAGTTTCTTCTTCTTTCTTTAATTATGCAAAGACACTGAGGTGTTTATAATGCACAGCCAGGAGAGAGGCCACCAGCACTAGTATGGCATTAACTCGCCAGTGTCAAACTGTGACAAGCAACGTGCTTCTTTTTGCTCCTTTTATTTTGCTTATTTGGTCAAATATGTCTGTAGGCACGTGTTACCGCCCGCCAAGTTAACAAATACGTGTTGCACATTTATGCAGCAAAAATTATAACAAAAATATAAACTAAATCTGATACTATTAATCGGTTAAAAATGCATCCTTTCGGTTTACAGTTAATTGGTTAATGTGAACATCCCTAGTTTTGATCCGTCAATAAGATTGAGCAGCATACAGAAAGTGCTGATAACTGAACCATTTCACTGTCTGTTTTTTTTTTTAACATTTCATTATTACACCAGTAAGTGGCAAAAAAAAACTTGCTACATATAAATAGTGAATATTAGGGATGCTGCAATACAATGTAAAAAATGTTGGGTTCCACACAATTCATTTATGTTGTCCCAACTCAAATTGATGAAGTTAACGTTTTATTGTTTTTACAAATGTACTGTAAGTAGATTGAACATAAAACAATTAAGTTGTCTAAAAAATTAAGAAATGTGTTGTTTCAACTTCTTTTAAATAAGTAGTTTGAACAAGCAGCAAAAAAAATTACTCAATTTAATTTTGAACCGTTTGGTACAGTTCAATACACAAATTGTTTTGCATTTACATTTAAAATTAGTTTTTTGCATCCCCCCCTCCTTCTTTTAATTACTTTCTGAAAATGCCTCTGTGCATGTTAGAATGTATGTCTATGCACAGAAACAAGGCTCCCATCAGTGCAAAATGTAGGAACACTTTCACATAAAAATTAATGTGATGTGTGCAGTATCTCAGCACATGAGCGCACGTAGGAACAGAAGCCCACACTGTGTTTACAATGTGCAGGGAACTCTAGTTTGGCTAATGATGCTTACTAGACTGTAACTCATCTATCAGTATGCCCTAAATACTTTCCATTCAGACCATGACGCCATGACAGTGAAATATGAACTTTTTCCCTTTGCTACATTGTTTGAGTTGTGTGCGTTTTTTTTTTTTAGCCACTTGGATAGGCCTCATCAAATGCGCACCTAAGAATCTCACCTGTATTTCCTCCAGGTTCTTATTGCCTACTGTTTGAAAATACTATGCAGCTCATTTACCAATTTAGTAGGAAATTATGCATTTTGGGCAACACGGTGGCTCAGTTGTTAGCACTGTCGCCTCACAGCAAAAGGGTCGCTGGTTTGAGTCCCAGCAGGAGCAGTTGACATTTCTGTGTGGAGTATGCATGTTCTCCCTGTGTTTGCTCGGGTTTCCCCCACAGTCCAAAGCCATGCGCTATTGGTGAATTTAATAAACTAAATTGGCCATAGTGTATGTGTGTGAATGAGTGTGTATGGGTGTTTCCCAGTACTGGGATGCATCTGAATGGGCATCCGCTGCATAAAACATATGCTTGATAAGTTGGCAGTTCATTTCGCTGTGGCGACTCCTGATAAATGAATGGATGAGTATGAGATTTTGTTATTGTACATATAAGTTAAACATCACTGTGTGTTTTGCCTGATGACGGACAGCATCTGAATGTGTCAGCAGCATAAAATTGTCAGTAAATTTCTCGCAACTTTTTTTTAGGCTTGTTTATTTTAATGTTTAAGTAATTTCTGTGTAAATGTTTTACTCAACCGGTTCTTTCAAAACAATGATTTGCACCAGAACCAGACATCGCCAAAGTCTGTCTTGGCTTTGAGGATTTTGTCCAATCTGAAAGTAGATGCTAAACCTGTTTTTTAAACTTTTCAATACATGCAGCATTACACGAGCAATCGCTTTGCTATAATACCTAAACAAAGTCCTGTTTATTAATTAAAAAATTCTTAATGACTTGCCTAAATAAATTTGGCTTCACTCGTTCCAATCCATGATCTCCTTCTCTGAAACAATTTACAAATGAATGCTTAAATAAGTAAATAGCCGTAAAATAAGTGGCGCAGTGTGGAGCTAGGACATCGTTATTGTAAAATAAACCCCTTCAGGGTGATCCGAGACCTCATCTCTGTGTCATGAGACCCGTATGACGTCCCCATTTTCATGGCACTAGTCAACACAATTGCACTTTTGTTTCCCCAAAATACAGTCTTTCTTGTGGAGATATTATGATTCCTCACAAGCTGAATTCTTGCCATGCTTCAACACATCTGTCCCGAAGCATTCAAGCCCTTGTAAATGAGATTTGTCAAGTTCAAGTTTTCTTACAAGATTTACTGCAGTGAAAACAGTTTAGGTTAACAGTATTAGCCAAGAAACAGGAATGAAGAGGAAACCTGATCTCTCCTCTGCTTCTTCTCCTCCTGACAGGCATATTTGCAAGCAATGGACCAAGCCTCTGCCGCAAGATGTTCGGCATCAGTAGAAATGACAAGAAATGCCACATGCAGATCATATCTGTGAGTCCACCTTTCAGCATTTTCTGTGGAGCAGATAAAGAATGTGGATGGGGTTTTCTCTTTCTAGCAACAAGTGGGGGGTCTAGAGGATTTGCTGGCAGCAGCAGGTGAGGCGGGTGAGATTATCTTTGTCTGAAGTGTGAGAACAGCAGACAGTAGGAGGGAATCAACAGTAGTGGAAACCTGCTGAGCTGATGCTGTGGATCAGGGAAGGGCCTTTACACTGGGAAAAAAACACTGGACAGGAAGAGCAGATCAGGTTTCTTTTAAGTGCAGATGGATTGGAGCTTAAACACACAAGATCTTGATCAATAATGACTTCTGGCGTATGGAAAAAAAATACAATACTTTGAACAAATGGCATGGAGTTTATGGGCTTGTGGTGATTTATTACAGGCAGAATGTGTTGTTTCAAAGCACCAGCACTGGAAATCCCCTTACTGTGGCTCTGCAAGGGCTGATGATGAATTTAAGCGACATTGAGTGTTCGTGTTTTAACATGCTCATTAAAAAAGAAAAATTAGGTTTTGCCTAGCAGCTTCTTGGTAGTCATTATAAGGACATTTTGGGTAGGTTGTGCTGCAATTTAAGTTAAAAAGAGATTTAGGTGGATGTTTTAGTAATTAAATGTCTTGCGTAACCCTTATTTCTGCTTTTCAAAGGTGCAAGGCAGGATCATTAAAGTTTTTAAAAGCCAAACAACTAATACCATTTTTGTTACTTTAAATTAATGTTAACTGAACATTTTTTAGAATGCTGCTACTTAAATATTTCTAATAAACTAACAAATCATAAGAAAACGTAAAAAAATAATAAACATAGCAAGAATAAACACTAAATATTTATTTATTCATTTTCTTTTCGGCTTAGTCCCTTTATTTATTAGGGGTCACCACATCAGAATGAACCACCAACTTATATGTTTTACGTCAGCGGGGTGCCTTCTAGCTGCAAGTACTGGGAAACACCCATAACCTCTCTCTCACACACATAAACTATGGCCAATTTAGCTTATTCAATTAATCTGCAGCGCATGTCTTTGGACTGTGGGGGAAACCGGAGCACCCAGAGGAAACCCTTGCGAACACAAGAACAACATGCAAACTCCACACAGAAATGCCAACTGACCCAGCCGGGCCCGAAGCAGCGACCTTATTGCTGTAAGGGGATAGCGCTGACCACTGACCCACCGTGTCGCCCCATGACACTAAGGCAAGGCAAGGCAAGTTTATTTATATAGCACATTTCATACACAATGGCAATTCAAAGTGCTTTACATAAACAAGAATAAAAGAAACAAGTAAAATAAAAATAAAAACAAATAATAAAAATGCGTAAAAACAAAACAAAACAAAAACAGGTAAAATGTGATATGAAAGAATGAAGAAGAAGAGAAAAACATGATAGTGCAATCTGTCAGACGCAGCACAGTGCTCATTCAGTAAAGGCACAGCTAAACAGATGTGTTTTCAGTCTTGATTTGAATGTACCTAATGTTGGATCACATCTGATCATTTCTGGAAGCTGATTCCAGCAGCGAGGGGCATAGTGGCTAAAAGCCGATTCACCCTGCTTTGACTGAACTCTTGGAACTTCTAGTTTATATGATCCTAATGATCTGAGTGATCTGTTAGGTTTGTATTCAGTGAGCATATCTGTGATGTATTTAGGTCCTAGGCCATTTAGTGATTTATAGACCAGTAATAATACTTTAAAATCTATTCTGAATGTAACTGGCAGCCAGTGTAAAGACCTGAGGACAGGTGTGATGTGCTCTGATTTTCTGGTTCTGGTTAGAATTCTGGCTGCAGCGTTCTGGATGAGCTGCAACTGTCTGACTGTCTTTTTAGGAAGACCAGTGAGGAGTCCATTACAGTAATCCACCCTGCTGCTGATAAAAGCATGAACAAGTTTTTCTAAATCTTCACTAGAAACAAAGCATCTGATTCTTGCTATGTTTTTGAGATGATAGTATGCTGATTTACTGACTGCTTTGACATGACTGTTGAAACTCAGATCTGACTCCAGAGTCACACCAACATTCTTGACCTTATTTTTTGTCGTTTGACCTTTAGTGCCAAGGTACGCATTTACCTTGAGAACTTCATCTTTGTATCCAAACACAATCATTTCAGTTTTCTCTTTGTTTAACTGAAGAAAGTTTTGGCACATCCAATTGTTCATTTCATCAATGCATTGGCAGAGGGTGTCAGTGGGGCTGTAGTCATTAGGCAGTAAGGCTAGGTAGATCTGAGTGTCATCAGCATAGTTGTGGTAGGAGATTTGGTTCTTTCTCATTATTTGGCTCAGAGGGAGCATGTAAAGGTTAAACAGGAGAATAAAAATATATGCTGCTAAAAAAATACCAATTTTAATGTATTTTTTTTGATAACACTTAAATGACACAGCTGAATACACCTGTTCTATGATGATTAGGTTTTGACTTTAATTAAAAACAATTATCTTAATTAAAATAATTATTACACCCTAGGATATTGCTGCAGAGCAACTTCAAAAATGTTTTACATTATTATCGATATGATCTTTGTGAAAGATAATACGTTTTACTTTAAAGGGCACCTATGATGCAAAACCAACTTGTGGAAGCTGTTTGGACAGAATTTTGTCTAGGTGTAGTGTGTCTGCAGACATATTGAAGTGACATAAACAAGTTTACAAACAAGTTTCTTTTTGTTTTTTAAATTCCTGACATTAAAATAGGATCCAAATGTCATCGATTTTGAGGCCAACCACAACGTGACGTAGCAATGCGGTTTTCCTCGACCACTGATATTGATTGACAGGCGTTATTAACATGTCTCTGTAGTATTGTGTATAAAATGTCCACAAAACAGGATATGCAAAGAAACTTGGATTCAAAGATCTATTCAACTCTCTTACACTTGGATTTTTATAGCTTTTTGAACTAAACTTTTTGAGCTATGTCATTTATAATCACTGGAATCAGCATAGCTGCATAGTGTACACTAGAGTTTAGATTCTCTGCCCGAGCCCAGACTTAACCCAACCGTACCTTTGGGCTGGGTCAGACCGATATTTTATTTTTCAGTTGAAAAATAAATTGGTTCATATGCAAAAAACAGCCTTGAAAATTATGGGAATAAAACAATATGAGCCCATACAGACTCTATACAAACAGGCGGCTATGAGAAGAGCGATACGTATTAGCGCTGATTCTAAACATCCCCTGTTCAGTGAAGCTGTTATCATCAGGAAAAAGACTGAGAATGCCAATGTGTGAAACTAATAGACTGAAGCTTTCGTTTGTTCTTACCTCGATAAAACTGTTGAACTCTACCAATACCACTGCTCCTGTAGTACGCTAGCACCTGACTGGGTTCTGTGTTTTATATATTTATACGTATATACGGTCTTATTCTGTAAACAATGTATGTTTTTAACTGTTTGTTCCTAATTGTTTTGTTTTATTTATTTTTACTGTCTGTTTAGAGCAATGTTGTAGCACCTTTTTTGCCCAAGACAAATTTCCTCTCGGGGACAAACAAAGTTTAACCTAACCTAACATATTTCCTGCTACTATCTTCGGGGAGGGGTCATGTGGGGCCTTTATCAAACGTTTGTGTGTTTTTTAGTCATTATTTAATTAGCCTAATTGTGTGGAAAGCTATACCATAATTAAAAATATTATATGAATATTTTAGCGAAGTCGCCCTAAGCAACGTGTGAGTCTGCAAAGTTGCACAATTCATTTGTGTGTCATGCGCAGCAACGTTCTACCTCCTGCAGCAGCGTCTCCTGGCACACATTCATACCACATGAGCAAGCAGAGGTGAAACACTGCGTGCGCAGTGCGCATGTAGAGAAAAAATGAATTTATTGTGTAAAATTGCTACTTTTTGCTATCATTTAATGTGTTTTTGGTCATTATCACTTTATTTTAACATGAGCAGCGGCAAAAATAGACCCAGCGTAGAGAAATGATCAAGACTCTGCTACTTTAGCTCTGCTCACACTTCACACTGACAGGCTACTTCTGCGTAAGGTATGAAAGCTCTAATATGTTAAGATGAACACCGAAAAAAACACACGCTGCTCACGCTCTTCTCGCATATGTGGTGTGAAAGAGATGATGACAAAAAATAGGGACTTTCGCGATGAACAGCCTTCAATGTCCTCTTTTGTTACGATCCATTCTGAACAAACAAACAATGCAGTTTACATGCTTCTTCCTTGCATTATTCTTTAAGATAAATCTAAACTAATATCTGCAGTTCAAACAACTCGGAACTGTAGTTGAGTACATCTTTAATGAGGGCCCATGTATTAAAAAATAGTCAGGTTTAAATCGTGCTCTGACTCATAATTACAGTTAATGTGTCAGACTGAATTGGGCTCGGACACAAGTTGTACTGGCTCAGGTCGAAAAAACTTTTTTTTGGGCCCGATCTAAGCTCTAACACAACTATAAACGAGGATGCTTCAATCACACAACGGGAGTTTTATTATTGTAAAGTAACATAGCTATATAGATCTCTATACAGGAGCACTTTTTCCAGTTTGATGGCATCATGTCAAATTTTCCCAGAGAAGATTAGTTTTTGTGTTTGTTGTTTGCGTGTGTTTGTGTGTGTGTGTGTGTGTGTGTGTGTGTATGTGCGTGTTTTTGTGACTTATTATTACAAATCTGTATGATGACATGGGTATGACACAGGTATTACAAAAATGAGGTGAAATATGAGGACATTGGTGACGTCCCCATTTCTTAAAATGCTTATAAATCCTACAGAATGAGTTTAATCAGAGAGCTGCACAATGACTCCTGTGATGTTTGGGTTTAGGGGGAGGGGGGGTTGGGTTGAGGGCAATATAATATATGGTTTGGACTGTAAAAAATGAAAGGAAGTCTATGTAATGTACCCACTTTTCACAAAAACAAACGTGTGTGTGTGTGTGTGTGTGCGTGCGTGCGTGCGTGCGTGCGTGCGTGCGTGCGTGCGTGCGTGCGTGCGTGCGTGCGT